CGGACCCTCAGCAACGCTTCAAGCCGCCTGCTGTGACGGCAACGCCTCAAAAGCCTCGAAGACGCCGTTCTCTCACCTCCCACGCATGCCCTCGGTTGCCTTCTCTGGCGCGCGCCCCCTTCAACCGGCGGGGTCGGCGGATATATATATATATATATATAAATAATATGAATATATAATATAATATGAATATAAATATGTCCTTTTTTAACTGCCTAATGTCCGTTTGACATCCTTCCTTCCTCTCTCCAAAGACCTCTCTGAGGCTCTGGGGATCGTTCATCTCGGGTTTGTCGGTCTTCGCCCTGAGCATTTGGGAGTCCTATTTCGGCGCCATCGCCTTCGTCTTGGTGCTTTCGCTCGGAGACACTGGGCGTCTTCCAGTCGGTTTTGTGTCTTTTCCCTTTAGACTTAGTTCAGCTACTAGATACTAGGATAGCTTCTAGGTAGGACGCAGGAGAGCCCACGCTTCAAGGAAGCTCCCAGGGAAACTTGGCATTTTCTTGCAAGGATACAATTTGGTCGCCGACGCTTTATGAATTCTCCACCATGGCTGCCATTGAGGGCAAGGAGTTGAATTGAAGTATGCTTCTCTTGTGCATTCTTGTTTCGACTTGTAAGAGGTACTGACTGACGCGGGAGTGATGGTTATTCTGTGTTCTGAAGGGATAAATATTAAAAAACAACAAGAGCATTCAATGAGCACTTGTTTTAAGCTCTCTATATTACATACATATAATATGTGTGTATTAATTGTTTGCATGTTTTCTTTGTTTGCGCGTTCTTGTTGACGTTCGTCTTAGGCCACAAGGCTCCCCGGATATTATTTTTATGTCTTCAACTCGAAGGTTTCTTCAAGATGTGACAGAGAGAAAGAAAGATAAAAGAACGGATCGGAACAAGAGAAAGGTCTCTAGAGGAACAACCAAGACAAACATACATGACATAATTATACAGTAGACTTTGTCTTTCAAAATTTCTTCATGTTTCTTCGATTCTAGAGTCCGAAGGTTCGAGTTTCAAGAGAGCAAAACTATGGGAGGACAAGTGCGTTGGCTCGTAAGGGACTCATAAGGAGTGGCAGACACTGTGGTTGTTCTTGAACAAGTCTTGATCGTTGCAAGCACTAACCGAATGCAAGCCCTTGTGCTGCTTTTGATTGATGTACTGCACAACGTGAGAAGGGGTGTGAACGTCCTTTTCCAAGACAAAGAGTTTGAAATAAAGGAAACGCCGGAGGGCATAGCTTAGATTCTGACTTAAGCCTGTACATGAATGGCAGAACTTTGCCATGCAAGTTGGCAAACATCAGTGACAGCAAGGTGTAAATCTGAAGCTTACCGACTCGATTCAGATATGGCCCACAATGAATGCCTCTCAGTCCCAACGCCATCTGAGTGAGCCAAGAGGTAGTGCAAACTGCATTGACACACGTGCCGTTGCCCACGCTCCAGTTGCTCAATCAAGCCCAACTGGACAGAGTTGGAGGCCATCGCTCCTAGGTTCGAGGGCCATCTCTGAGACAGGATCGCTCTTAGGTTGGAGGCCATCGCTCCTGGGTTCGAGGCCATCGTGGTTGGAGGTCATTGCTGGTAGGTTGGAGGCGATCGCTACTAGTGGAGGCCATCGCTCTTGGGTTGGAGGCCATTGCCTTTTGGTGCTTGCCTGTGATGTTTCAGAAATCAAAGTTCTTGGTTTGACGCGCCCTTCCCCCGCCTAATTCAGCAGCGACCAAAACCTCTCATGCTAATGTAAGATGCCTTCGCAAAAGGCAAACACACAACACAAGATGATACAGTAGGGGGCCGTGCTGGGTGGAAAAAATCCATGGCGTTTGACCCAAGACTTTATCCGGGTGCCAGCCTCTGAGCTACCTAACAAGGGGGGTTGTCCCTTAAAATAATCCACCCAAGTAATTAGGTGGCATGGTTTGAGGGTCAGTGACTTGAAATTATCCAGTAGTCACGTTTTGCATTTCCTTGGATTTTATCCAACCATGGGCCTCTTATCAAGTGGGCTTTGTTCCTTGGCTTATCCAGTGTCCCTACTCGACCTTTTTGACATCCAAGGGTTGCTAAGGAAGCGAAGGGCCAAAACAAGCATCCAGCACCACTGGAACAAAACAACGCCCAACTTGAAAGTGCAAAAAAGAGTTTTTGGCACTTTCCTTGTTTCCCTATCTTCATTTGCCTGACATGTGCCAACACACTGATCAACCAGGCAAGTTGGGCGTGGGATGGGAACTCATGGTTGACCATTTGGACGTCCGGCGTTTCAAAATTGTCAATGTGCAGTGTTGATGTGTTTTGTTTTTTAACTTTTGAAACCTCAGCCCCTCAAATATATCTACGTGATCTGGCTGAGAAAGGGTCAATCCCCCAAAAAACCCTGTACAGACCCTAGGTCCCAGTACAACGGGGTATACAAGATGCGTGAAAGCCTGCAACAGTGGCTTTGTTTTGCACAGAATGCAGCGCGTAGGGGCCAAAATTGTTGCGAAAGAAGTGTGCAACAGTTTTGAGTGGGCAAAAGAAGAGCCCTTTAGAACACAATTCTCACTTGGATTTCAACAATGTTTGGTAATCGGTGTGAATGTGTGCTCCTGCCAGGAGGGCATGTACCTTGCCATCACGATGGCACCAATGTATTTGGCAGCTTTGCCTGTTGGAATCATCTCAGGCCTCAATTGGTTTCGCCGCCTCCGCCACAATGTGTATTGCAGCTTATCAAAGGTTTTCCAACCTATTAGCGCGATGGCCTCCGACCATGTCCGACCTACTAGCGATGGCCGCCAACATAATAGCGACGGCCTGCAATTACATTTGTTACAGGTGTTCCTTTGCTTGTTTACAGCACAGGCTGGTGCCTCGCAACCTTTTGCCCACAGAATGTGCCGGCCGAGGAGTCAAAGGGAACATTGCTGAATATTTTTTCCACACCCATAGTTGAGAGCATCATGTACAATTATGTACATGAAATGTAATTATGATGTACCTGGTGCCTTGTTGGCCTTCATGAATCTGATAGGAGAGGCGCTCGCAATTGATGTGGCTCATCATAGGCGTGACAGGCGGCAAGGGTTTGTCAGATTCTTTGATAGACTTGTGGTTTTGAGTGTTTAGACGAAACGTTTTCTGGTAGCTGCTCCATGCGTTTCTCATTTCGTGGAGTTGGAGGTTTCATTTCCCCAGTTGCCTTGTGGATCTTCCAAAAGCGTTTGATCTTGCCGGAGGACTCGACAAACGATGCGACTGTATAAACATTGGTTTGTGTACGGTTCTTGTCCGGAATATGTGCCATTCCAAAATGACTCAGCATAGGCAAAAACGGTCCTGCATGAATGTATACATCATCGTGCCATTTAGAGTGTCCAGATTCAGGGGCCAACTGAAGGCTCTGAAAAGAAAGAATAAGTGGAACCCGGCTCAGGCTACTGACAAAACCAGACACTTGTGTTGCTCACATGCAAAATCCAACGTGCATGCAGAAATGCCGTCGAGCGTCACAGAATTGATATAGAAATAAATATACTTGTACAAATATATATATATACATATCTAGGACAACTGCAAAGCACAGCTGCAAAACGTATATATTACTATATGGATTACTGTACTGTATATGGAAACACCCAAACGATTTGAACACCCTCAGAAGGGATTTGCATCCATTCTTTTTGTGCTGGCTCGCGATGCGTGTTCGGGTTACGGCGTTGCTTTTTGCAAAGGCAAGCGCACTAGAATGATAAAATGCCAAGGCACAAAGGCCGGTAAAACGGTATATTTGCAGATTTAGAAATTCTCTTGACCATTTATAATCTATCCGCCCGCAGAAGTACTGAAGTACAACCTCTCAAGAGCCAGCTTAGCTGTTTTTGTGTTGCCGTGCAATCTCAGTTGCAGTTCTTCAGTTTGTGGACGGATTTACAAATCCTGCTTCTAGGACGAGCTCCATGCAGAGAAGGCACAAGCGGCCACAAGTTTCTGTCTAAGCCCATGCGATGAGTGAAGTGCATTCTGTGGATCTTGCCAGGAGCCAGAAGACGATGGCGAGGGGGAGATTCGACAGACCCGGAGGTGAATTTCCGAAAGGAAAAACATGCTTGCATCCTTTTTGCTAGTAGGTTTGAGGCTATCGCTATTAGGTTCATTTTCCTTTTTGCATCATTTGTTCTGCAACTGCAACCGCTACTGCAAGGTCCTAGATCTTGAGAGTCCCCAAACGAAATACCCGGTGTTTTTTGCATGCTGCTATTTGTTTGGATGATGTCACACAAGGTGATTTGGTTTGTACAGAACAAAAAGCAAACATAAGGTGGAGTTGAGGCCCTTTGATAAGGCCCCTTCAAAGAAAGATGCCTGGTTGTGCGTTTGATTCATATAAAGGTTTGTGTTTTAACCAAACAAAGGCATTCCTTGGCGTCAGAAGGGTCTTAGGGCGGGTTGGAGTGCTGAACATGAAAGGCTCCGAGACTCCGGCGATGTCGGCGCATCTCCATCTCCGCATTCCCCGCAAAAGGCCTGATCGAAGGAGTCCGAATATGTTATGCTTTGTGAAAGCTTTATGAATCACCGGAAGACCTAACCTGTTTGGGGGAAGAGGCCATGAAGCAATGATGCTGCTCGTATGTGTTTTTAGCATCGAAATGTTCCTGATATTTCATAAATTTTCATACTTCAACTGTGAGTCAACACTGCGCCAGGCGGGACAGTGTTCCGATGCACAAGAGCCAGTGTTTGTAATCGGACGACCTGTTGAAGATGGAGAGCTTTAGAGAGCTGTAGAAGGCTCCGACAAAGAGTTGGAGCTGAAAAGGGCTCCGACAACAATCGTGAAAAAGAGCACATCGCAACGAGTTTGCGTCTACTGCAATGCTGTTGATTTCTATATATTTCTATGAAAGTCTATTCTTTCAATTATCATTTCAGATGTCAAACCAAGCTTGATCGTGAATGGCAATGTGAAAACACCGTTTGTAGAGAAAGGGACCTCATGCCAAGGTGAAGCTCGACAAAAAGTACCAGACAGCGGACTGGAGGGAGCGACCACTGCCGCAGGAGAAGAGATTGGGAGAACACGTTCCTTCTTCTCCCAAGGTTTGAGACATTCTTCCTCTTTCTGTTTCTAATAGCGATGGCCTCCAACCTACTATTGTCTTTTTGGTTTCCGGTGAAGCACTATGAAGTGTCCCGATTTGATTCAACCGGCTAGGAAATGATCCACTATGCCCGAGCATGTAGCTTACAGATGTCAGAACTGCCATTATGACAGCAGCACTTCCCAGATGACCTGGGCTGTGATGATTTGAGTATCGCTTACGGCAATCTGCCATGACATGTGTCACATTGAATCACTATGATTTTTACTAGAGTTTTGTTTTTGTGAACGGTTCTTTGGATTAAGACCAAGGAGATTCCAAGAAACGGCGACTTTAGCACTGCATGCCTTTGCTAGAGTTGTTTTTGGTTCAAAGAACCCGCAGTTTGTCGGAAGAAAAAGAATGGAACAAGAAAAGACAACAAATATAAATAATCAAGCTGAATATTGAACATGAAGGATATTTCAGGGTTTTTGAACCAAGGCGGACACTCACTACTTGCTTTTTTGCCCCCTGGCTTTGATTGACATAAAGAAAGTCCGCTCGGATAAAGGTAGCCTTTGTTTGCCGAGAGATGCTTTTTGTATATGTAACAGATGGTATAATATGTTATGTCGAAGGTTTTCTTTAGACCGCATTGCAGGCTATGACTGTCTCAAAAATGCACTTTTGGCGCAGAGTGGCATGGAGTGTTCCTCAGAGTCTTATACTATTCGACATGGTGTCCCTTTGCAACACTGCATCTTCCTTCCCAATACCATTCCCATTCGGAGGCCTCTACTAGTGGCGTAAACCTCGGAATTGCAGTGCCACTGGGCAGAAAGAGGATTGTACAAGATTCCAGAGAACTTACTAAGCTTTAATGAAACAAAACCTGGGAGGAGGTTCTAAAGTGTCAACTTAATTTTGTCAAGCTGATGTCGAGGTTTTTTATTCATGCAAAAACAAATTCCATCTATTTGTCTCACTCGATTCGCTCCAAGGTTGGAAAGCGGAGACCTACAAGCCACAGAAGAGGGAGTCCAGGGCTTGGCCGAGAAAAAGGATGAACACGCAAAATGACGAATTCTTATTGATAGTCGGGGGTAGGGTGCTAGTAGAGGGAAGAGGTAGTAGCAAGGTAGGTAGCTAGTAGTTTAAGTAGCTACTACCGACAGGACACAGGATAGCACCGGCACTATTCATGTCATGTGGTTCCTGGATTTTTAGGGAAACTCATCTAATTCGTTGAGTACCTTTGATTTGATGGCACAGATAAGATTGAAGCCCTGCAAAATCAATAGTCATTGAAGGCGAGAAGATAGAGAAACAAATTAGAGTTCACCACGTTTGGTCTTGCTTTATCGAGGTGCAAACCCTGCAGGCCACGATGCAGAAGAGCCTGGGGACCTTTCGGGAGCTTCGGGGGTGTGGCAAAAAGGAAACAAACGAAAGGTCCTTTAAGAACGAACACATGCTACTAGGAACAAGTGCATCGCTAGTAGTAACAAGTGCCTTACTAGTAGTAACAAGAAGCTACTAGGAACAAGTGCCACGCTAGTAGTAACAAGTGCCTTACTAGTAGTAACAAGAAGAATTTAATTGGAATTGTAATTACTAGCAAAGGAATCTACTAGGTCCTTTAAGAACGAACACATTCTTAAGAAAATGGTCCTTTAAAAAGAACGAAAGACACGTTTCAACTAAAAAGGAAAAACAAAAGAAACAACCAACATATATAGAAGCTACTAGTAACAAAGGGCATCGCTACTAGGAGCAAGGACGCTACTAGGGGCTCCTGGCATCCCTACTAGGAGCAAGAAGCTATTAGGAACACACAATATATATAAAGATCATGCTTGGCACGATGAGGTGCTGCGCTCTGTGGACAAGCTTACCACGAAGCTCCGCTGGATGCTGGACAGCTAGTCGGTTTCCCTGCTTTTGCCTGAAAATGACACTTCCGTGCAAACAACATGATTGCAACACATATTGTAGTAACAAGAAGCTACTAGGGGCTCCTGGCATCGCCACTAGGAGCAAGGACGCTACTAGGGGCTCCTGGGCTTACTACCTGGAACAAGAAGCTATTTCACTCAGATTTTCAAATCCTTTTCTTTGCAGCAAAAGCAGCTGAGCTGTAGGCGATGTCCCTTTGTGAGCGCTTTGGCTCCAAACAACGACCCTTGGACGCCAAACAGATGAATGCCCTCAAGGCCACTCTTGGACATTGGCGGTCGCTCGCATTCTTGTTGGAAAAAGATCCTCTTTCTTCGATCTATTTCTTGCTATAGGTTAACAGACATACAAAAATGCTTCTTGTTACTACAGGTGAAACGATTCCCAAAGAAGCTTTGGTCGTTACTAGAAAGCGTTCTTGCTTTTGGGGGTTTTCTCATTCCACTTAGCCCGTGGTAAACTTCCACGGTTCCTTCGCGGCAAGAAATCCACCACTTCAGGTGCAAATGTGCGTCACTAGCGAAGCAAAAGCAACCACTTTCCTGCTGTAAGAGGCTACCACTCAACTAGAGGTAGCTGGAAGCTACAAGTAACAAGGGCATCGCTACTAGTAACAAGGGCATTACTACTAGGAACAAGAAGCTACTAGGAACAAGGGCATCGCAACTAGTACTATGTTTGCCAGCATCGATTTAAGCCAGCACCAGCCTACCAACTTCAGTGGTGGGGAATCACGGCTTCGCCACTGAAGAGTTCCTTTCGACAATGTGCATTCGCAGCCCTTGGAATTTCTTGTTCTTCCTAACATTGTCATCGTGAGTTTGCAATATGTTCATGGGTTTTCATAAGATTGTCATCGATTGTCATAACATGTTTATTGTATTGTTTAAAGTAACATATTCATTGGTGTTCACATTGTTTTAACATGATTGTTAGTAACATGTTCATCGGTTTCATGACATTGTCCTTGGCTTCAGCTCGGCATTGTCGGTGTCGTCTTTGCCCCTGTGTCCAAACATCATGTTCGTTATTTTCGCATCTCGGAATCTCTGACTTCTCTTCGTCTCCATGGTATTCGCCTCACCTTCTCCTCGCTGCGTGAAACAATTCAAACAACCATTGGACTTTCTGGGTGTTTACAAATAGTTAGAGAACGCTAAAGAAGCAAACGAAAACGTTTTTCGTCTTTCGAAAACACAGGGCCGCGGTGGGCCGCGACTCACGCACCCTACCTTGTTTTCCTCCTGCTCTGTCCTTCCCGTTGTTTCTGTTGTTTGTCTCCTTTTTTTGTTTGTTTTTTCTGCGAAAGAAGGCATAGGAATTTGCAAGCACAGATGCTCTACCACACGACTATGGGTCAAAACATGTCAAAGCAAGCAGTGTGAGGACAGTGGTGATGCCACTTCACCGGCACTATCGCCATGGTTCAGCGCTATCGCTTCGCCATGCTTTTCTATTCTTGCCTTGCATTTTGCTTATCTTGCTTTGGCTTGCCTACCTTCGTACAGTGCCACGACTTTCTCGCATCCGAAAACAGAAACATGAGCAGAGATGGAAGACGATCCAACCATATGAGTGTTCACAACATTCAGTCATGAAACTGCACTTGGCAATGATTTCGTCATGCAAATTACATGGCAATCATTTATATAATGAGTCATGTAACATGTAGTTTACCGAACTGCCTCTACAGCCGGAGGCCATCGCGGAGTGGAGGGATTGTTTGGCTAGAAACATTGACGAGCCGCCTGGCATGATTGGATCACCGTCATGAGGTAACTTCACCGACTTCAATTGTGAAACATTGTGAAACATTGTGAAACTTCACATCATGAACTTCCCACTTGGTCTTTTTCCAGGTCATTAAACTTCATAGCACCAGATGCATGTCTTTGGCGCATTTGCCTCGCCATGCCAACTTCGTCCCTTGGAACAACGACATGTTGCAGTGCGAACTTGAGAATTGAGAATGCTTGTTAATTGCACATGTTTCATTGAAAAAGAGGGATTGATTAGATTTGATTAGGATCTGTTGGGCCGCCATGATGTCAGTTTTTTTGGCCTTCGTGCGCCTACCTCTGATGCTGTTCTTCTGGCAGGCCAGTCAAGCTCCGCAGCACTTGCAATCCTTTGCCCACGACATTGCAGCAGCATGCGCAAGAGGCATGGCGGCGTAGTGCATGTCGAAAAGGTTTAAGGTGTTGATTCAAAATCACTCAAACGCGCTGAAACTTCACAGCTGAGTGAGATCGAGGTCGTAGATATCATCGTGAAGTGCTTACAAGGACAAACTCCAGCAGAATTGCTTGCAGCAGAGCCTTGGATTTATTCTGACTAGGCTTGGCAGCCAACAAGAGTGCCTAAGTGATTGACGTGACTGACATAGGGATTCAAGTGAGTATAAAGAAGGTAGGGTCCTCTTTCTACAAAACTGCAGCTCTGTAACTCAAGATGCTGCCGCGACTCGCAGCACGCCTTGCCCCGGTTGCCCGGGTGCGGCCTCATGTCGCGGTGCTTCGGTTGCAGACGCGATGCTTTGCACATCCTACGAACACGCATTTGATGCTCGACAGCGAAGAGCTTCCGCCAGCTTCCGAGAAGCCCATGTACAAGAATGAGTTTGTGCTGAAAAGCCCCAAGGAATATGAAGAGGAAATGAAGAAAGCCGTCAGGGCTCCTGTGGTGCACGACACCTCACAACTCATGGAGACTTCAGGCGATCCTCACCAATGTTTTGGCATGGGAGTCACCAGGCAATATCATTACGACTCTGTGCGTGAGCCAACCTTCCCAAGAAAGCCGGACCTCTCCAAAGGTGAGCTCGCTGCTGGTGCTACTCTCACACGAACCGACGTTTGGCACGATCCCAAAGAGCCAGCCATTGTGTCAGTTGCAAAGTTTTCTCCAGAAAACTTCCGCCCAGTTGGCCTGGCCGAGAATGCTCCAATGCCAACAACCACGGTTCCTGAAGGGGCTTTGGACTTCCGAGCCAATCGCCTTCCCATCGGCCATGCAGATCGTCGTCCTTATGTGTACTTCATGACTGCAGTGAGTGCGGCTATTGCAGCCTCCATCATCCGAGCGGTTGCTTGCAAGCTGATCCTCACCTTGTGGCCCACCAAAGATGTTTTTGCTGCTGGCGTTGTGGAGGCCGACTTGCGCCCCATTCGGCTTGGGCAGAACTTCACGGTCAAGTGGCGCTCCAAGCCAGTCTTCATCCGCAAGCGCACACCGAACCAAATTGCAGCTGCCAAGAAGGATGATGTGATTGCTCCATCAATGCGTGATCCAGCTACAGATGCAGAGAGGTGCAAACGCCCTGAGTGGTTGATTTGCATTGGTGTGTGTACGCATTTGGGCTGCATCCCACAGCCTGATGCCGGAAACTATGGTGGCTACTTCTGCCCATGCCATGGATCACACTATGACTTTGCTGGCCGCATGCGACAAGGACCTGCACCGAAGAACCTGGAGTTGCCCCCTTACCAGTTCCTTGACGACAACACCGTGAAGCTTGGCTGAGTAGCCTTGGCTGCTTGGTAGTGAGGTCCTTCAATTTTTTTGATGGCGTGGGTCTCACTGAGCGTCGGTACACGCAGCATAGAAAAAGGACCTAGAGAGCGCGGCAGCATCATGTGTTTCAATATATAATAGCGAGGCAATATTTGATAATATTTGTATGCTAATGTTATCAAGTTGCAACTGGCCTGAGACTTTGCCAAGGATCCTAAAACGCCTCATATAACCGCTGATTCGCCTCCCCGTGTGAGCCCAAGCTGGAGTGTCAATGACGCCGCTTCAGTCAGAGCAGCCCGAGCTGCCTACGTTCGCTGACTTTGCACACTCTTGGAACAAGCTTTTGGGCATTTTGAAGAATGCAACATTATGAGATGCAGTCTTATGCCTACCTTGCCCTACCCATCCTACCCCATAGTGACTATCGTGCTGAACATGTGAGTGAATTCGGGAGGTGAAGTGGAAGCAGACGTTCCCGTGCTTCGGGAGGTTGAGGCCAGAGCGGACGGACCTGGAGGGACCTGAAAGGAGCCCGATGAACGGCTCACAGCACGTTTTTTAAAGCCCGTGGCCCTGTTAATCAAGCAGGCGCCTACTTAATTAAGTAAGGGAAAACGCACCTAGCTACTTAAGCTACTAGTAACTGGACGCAGGATAGCTCAAGCTTCTTCAAAGAAGCTGCCCCCCCGCCTGAGGGTGGGAGAAGCTTCCTTGAACAAGCGCTTGGAAAACCTGTAGTTGATGTCAATGAATGCAATGAACATCAAGGGACTAAGTTGCGTTCATTTGCATACAAGAAAAGCAGCACAGAAGCCTAATTTGGAGCCCGATTGATACCTCCTACAAAGGAGGGAAAGCGTACTGGAAAGTTGCAGGGAGATACAGGGAGTAGGGCGCTTGCTAACTAGGAGAGAGCCTTATAATTAGGCTTTGGTTGTCACTGTCCCTACCCATTCTTGAACGTCAGAGGGTGCTTTTTGTAAGGGCCTCTTGAACCACGTGGATGCTGGAAAAGACTTGAGGCAGAGACATCCTGGAAGATTGGTGAGTGGCCCTTGCGCTGGTGGACTCAGAAGTGTATGGACACATAAAGAAAAGTAGGACCTTTCAGTAATGTGCTTGCCACCAAGTAGCCCATACGAATACAGTCCCAGAACTAATATTTTAGGTTGGAGGCCATCGCTAGTTAGCTTGGAGGCCATTGCTATTGGG